GTGCCTAGATTAAACTTTCTATCATTCGTCAAGAGGAAAGAAAGGAAAAAGGTTAGTGGATAAGAAAGTCATCCCCATTTATAAGAAAATATAAAAATACATATATTTGCTCTACCAAATTGTGGCTTCTAAAAATCCTGTACGACTGTATCAACTATGCTAAGGAACATTCACATTGTTTCCAATATGCTGTGGCCACAAGTAAGGCTGCTATAAATATTACTGTACTGAGATTCTTGTATATTTGTACTTTAATTCATATACTAGCAGTACAGGCTAGATTCTCATGAGTGGAACCGTTAGGTTGAAGGGTGTACTGAATATATTAAATGTGAAGCAATGTTACAAGATGACTTTCTAAAAAGGAAGAAATTATTCAGATAGCTAGCAACAAGACATACACGTACCTTTTTCCTAGCATCTCTGCCAGAAATGGATGATTTTAATTTTTAAAATATCTTTGAGATACAATTCAGATACTATAAAATTCATCCTTTTAAAGTGTACAATTCAATAGTGTTAGTATATTCACAGAGCTATGCAATGATCACCAGTAAGTTTAGTACATCTTTATAACTTCATGAAAAGAAACCCCGTACTCATTCAGAAGTCAATCCCCATTTCTCCACCTTCTTCCAGTTCAAGGCAACCACTAATCTACTTTCTCTTTGTATAGATTTGCCTATTCTTGATATTTTGTATAAATGGAACCATACAATATGTGGTCTTCTGGGACTGGCTTCATTTACTTCACATACCATTTTCAAGGTTCATCCACATTGTAGCATGTATCAGTACTTCATTTCCTTTTATCATTGAATAATATTCCTCTGTATGGGTACACTGTGTTTTATTTATCCATTTATCAGTTGAACATTTGGGTTGTTTCCAATTATTGGCCATTATGAATAATGTTGCTATGATCATTCATGTACAAGTTCTTAAGTGGATGTGTGTTTTTATATACCTAGGTGGAATCAGTAGGTCATATGGTAACTCTATGTTTAAACCCTTTAAGGAACAGCCAAACTGTCTTCCAAAGTGTAATTTTAATTTTTGCCAGTTTGAAGGGCATAAAATAGTTTCACCATTATAATGTGCACTTCCTTATAATGTGCACTCCCTTACTGAGTTTGAGACTCTTTTCTTTCATTCATTGGTAATTTAGCTTTGTTTTTCTTTAGCTGCTTTTCATCTCTTTGGTCTTTTTTTTTTCTGAGTTACTTTTTTTGCTCCTTATAAACTTCCAAGAGTTCTGTGTATATTTTAGATATTAACTAATTAACTATTGTCTTCTTTGTAAATATTTTGTCTTGATTTAAATTAAACATTAATGTTTTAATGTTGTGGTCTCTTTTGTATAAAATATTCCAATTTTTGGAAGTGAACATATCTTCTGGGTTTTTGTGTTTATTAAAAAGTTCTATCTTCCTTCCAGATTACAAATGCAGCTACTGAAATTTTCTTCTAAAATTTTTATTTATTTTATGTTAAGTATTTACAGAAAATCTGTATCATACACAGAATGAAATAGAAACTTAACCATTTTTCTACTGAAATGATGTATCACCTTATTCATATATTAAGGGATCAAATATAATGAATTTTTTCTCTGGATTCTCTATTCTTGTGTTTTTCAAGCCTAGGTCAGTACTACTTGTTGCTTTTAAAATCAATTTGGTAGGCTTTATTTGGCATTTTAAAAAATATAAAATAAAGGAAAAAAAACAGTATATATCATATATAACAAGGGTAAGTGTTTGATGAAAAATTTTTTTTAAGATTTCATTTATTTATTTATTTATTATTCTCACATGTGGTGAGGCCTGAGGGAGGGAGTGAGGGAAAGAATTTCAAGTAGACTCCAAGCAGAGTACAGAACCCAACACGGGGTGATCTCTTGACCTTGAGATCATGACCTGAGCCAAACCAAAAGTTGGACGCTCAACTGACTGAGCCACCAGGCACCCCTTGATTTCTGTTTTTTAACACAAACATATAAACACATAGATCAAGGGTCATAATGCATGTAAAATGTATTTCTTATTGTGAATTATAAGAAATAAAATCTGAAATCCACTCTTCCATTATATTCCATTAATCCATTTGTCCATTCTTTTGTGCCAATAGACAAATCTGTCTGTTCCTTTGCTCATATGTATCTAATTCTAGTGGCTGTGTTCTGATGCATGGTAAAGCAGGTGCATCTCCCTTTTTAGCTACTACTGGATATTTCTTCTTCCATATGAACTACGTGGTCAATTTTTCCTACCATTAACAAGATATTTTTGCTTCTACTCTAATTAGAATTGCTGATTTGGAAGAAATTATACTTTTATGATACTAAGTTCCCTGCAGCCCATCAAGTATTTGGTATGTCTACTTATGAGACATGGTATGTTTCTGTAATTCTTATTACATAGGTCCTATGGTTTACTTGTTAAATTACTCCTAAGTATTTCATAGTTCTTGTCATTGTTGTGAAAGAAAAAAATTTCCCATTTCCATCTGTGTGCTTATTGCAAATACAGAGAAGCTTTCAGTTTTATTTATCTTATATCTAGCTATCTTACCAGATTCTTTTATTAATTCTATTGTTTATAACTTGAGTCTCTCCTGTTACCTAATCGTATTGCAGGGACCCCTAAAAATGGCAAATAGTTTGGCAGTATGAAATGGCAACATGAGAATCTTGCTTAGCTCCTGACTGTAAAATGCTATTTAAGTAACATATACAAGAAATTACTGAGACCCATTCTTCTCTCTTCCATTTCTCAAGTTATTCCTCATGTTACAGTCCCTGCTTCTCCTCTCCTGCAGCTTCTCAACTGTGCTACTAGTGAGAGGGTCTGGTTTCTGATGTCTGGGTAGTAGGGAAAAGAGTTGCTGCTGACTCTCAGTGTACCACTAAAAATACATATCCATACATTCAGGTATATGCATATGTGGCCCAAGGTAAGATGCTGAAAGGAATAGCGAGAAATCAAGAATGTCCAGAAAGACAATCAAACAAGAGATGAAAGACATATGAATAAATAATGTTATTTCAAAGAGAAATGATACATGCTCCAAAGTCAGCATGAATCAAGAGTAGAGGAAAATAGTTACTTACAGTATAGAAAGGGCAACAGGTAGAAATTACATATATATGACAATTATGCTATAATTTGGATATAGTATAGATTAAAAAGTTTTTGAGGGATTGGCTGAACTTAATTAGCACATGTACTACTATTTTCTTAGAGGAAAAGACTGCTTTCAAATGATTCACTTAAAACTGAACTTCTAGCAACATAACTCCTATATTTCTTAGAGACCACTTGGACAGATGATAATAACATTCCCCAAGTTGTAGTACTGTCAGTAAAAAGAAATAACAAGAAGAATAAATAAGAGCCTGGTTTACAATTCCCTTTCCTGATTACCCCTTCGAAAAGAGAACTAATTTTATTCAATAAAAATAAAAGGAAATAAATCCTTATTCCGAAAATTTCTTAAAAATAAAAATTTTATAATTTCACATAATATATAATTTTCATTATAATGTTATAATTCACTGTTAAAGTTAATGTGGCTTCTTATATTGCCAAAAATATCATAATATAAATTTTTACCAGGGTCAAAAATTTTCATCTTTGAATTCACACAGTGTATAATAGCAAAATGCAGCTGTTAAATAAAGCATAGTTTACTGGTTCATTCATGCTATAAAAATATGACTGACATTTCATCTGGTCAACCATCTTAAAGGTTAATTCTTGTTTCCTGTTTCAGATTTTATTCCAGGTGAACTGCTCTGGGCAGATTCTATTTACCTATTCCGAACAAACCACAAACTGTTTCATTGCTCACTCTTACTGTTAAGAACATATTGACTTGCTGCCTGCTCTGCTGTTTAATTCATTTATACTGAGAGTCAGGCATGAAGACAGAATTTTAAATGTGACATTTGCAGGCTGTTAGGTCATTTAAGCTCTGACAACACTAGGGAATTCCTGACATATAAACTGGACCTGATTATCAAACACAGATAGGCTTCCCAAAGCAGCAAATTTCTGGTCATTTTTTTTTGGTTATTTCTCATAGAATTTAATATTAAATTGCAATGTCAATGAAAATTTCTATATAGCCAACATTTTAAAGTAAAAACCTGTTTCTCAAACCAGAACTTCTTCTAACCAAATCCGCTAAATGAAAATCGTTTTCGTTGACAAAGACATTGGAAAGAGTCATGATAGTAATTAACAGTCACCTAAAATTCTGACATATTCTGATATTTAAGGGTTTTTAATATTTTCTATAATCTATAGATTCTGAAAAATCTGATAGTTCTGAAGGCCATGACTCTTGTCAATAGAGCATTTAAAATTCTCAGATTCTGGCCAGGGCAGAGCCAGACTTTATATGCTTATATATATATAAAATTTATATAAAATCTTAGTTTAAACTTAGTTTAAATATCTACCACATTGCCTTCTCTAAAATTACAGTTATGCAGAACGGATGATAGAGTCATTATAACTGGAAATGAAAAAAAAAAAAAACCTGCCCACATGACATTTAGAATTACACTTTACAAGAGTTGATAATGGGGTAGGGTGAAGGAAGTAAGGAAAGATTGTTTTCTTATTTTAGCTACTCAAAAAAATTACACAAAATGACAATTTTTCAGCTTTTTTTCCTTGTCACTAACAAGTGCTACAGTGGTTCAAATGAAAGTTTTCTGAAATTAAGTCTTGTTGTTAAGTAATGAACAAAAGATAATTCTGATCTTACCCTGTATTTTATATAAGTAAGAATTCCATGATGCACAGCAAGTAGCCTTTTAATACTGTGCTTTGAGACTTCCAACTGTGATAGGTGGAGTCTAAAAAGGCATGGATGGCCTGGAATGCCTTTCAGCTATACCACATTGATTTTCAAAAACCTAACAAAGGCAATTACTTTTCAAAGATCAAAACTCTTGTTTCTTTCAAAAGAATAAAATGGGGGAAGCAAACCTGGTGTATTATCTGAGCTACAGGAAGTTGTTCAGCATATTTCAGTGGTTCCATTAGTTCCTCATTCATCCAGTCCTTCTCATATCTGAAAAAAAAAAAAGAATTTAAAAACATGCGGCTCAGGTAAATAGTATTTTTAAATATGGCAAATATTTAAATATGACAGATATGAAAACTATTAAAAATTCTATATTTAATGTTTCTGAAATAATCAGTATTTATCAAAATCTATGAAAAACCACCTATTGATAATTTTTAAATGACATATCTCTAAGTACATTCAGAATGCCTCTAATTACTATGGAATAAGATTAGCTAATATCATCTAATATGCTCAGATCCTGTCTTTTACTCTGGGCCTTAAAATATTTAAGAATTCCCTGTTTATAGGGTGTACTTTTTAATACAGTATTTAAAGGTCTTCAAAACCTGGCTCCAACCACGTTCAACCTGCATCTCTAGCAACTCCTTCTCTATGTACCAGTCTACTGTTTCAGCCACATCCAACCACTGGCTGCCTGCCAGTGGGCCTTGCAGCTCCTTGCCTCTCTGACGCTCCCCATTCTGTTTCTGTTGGGACCAATCACCAATTCCTTCTTTATTTACTCCTCTTTCAAACGTAATGATTTAAACCTGTCTAGATAAATTTTTCACCTCCCTGAAGACAGAAATCATGTCTTATTCTTTCTTGTATAACCAATGTTTACTATATAATACTCAATCAATGTTTGCTGAATGAATATATGAAAATGAAGACAACAATAACTATCTGAGAGATGTTATATGAAAAATATTTTCTTTAATATCTACATTTACAATGAGATGCAGCATTGAAATACAGAAAATACAGTACACAGTAAGTACACAGAGTACACAGTACACAGTAAGTGTACACAGTACACAGTAAGAATAAAATCTCCCCAAATGAAGAGAATTAGAAAAAAATGTTTTTAAAAAATTATTGACCCTTTTTTGAAATAGGAAATAACCATTAGATTTTAAAACAATACACCTAAACATATTTAAGCCTCTTTTACCCATCTTTTTCTGTAAATTACACAGGAACTTATCGATTTAAAAGTCAAATTTTAAAAATAGAAGCCTAAATTTGTCTTGAAAACTAACCAAACAAGACTGGCCTAAGTCTCTAGGGCTGCAGTTAAGGAATGGGATGATGAGAAATGTGGAAACTCTCCAGAAAAAAGGCAGATAAACAAGGATAGGGGCACCTGGGTGGCTCAGTGGGTTAAAGCCTCTGCCTTCAGCTCAGGTCATGATCCCAGGGTCCTGGGATCAAGCCCCACATCGGGCTCTCTGCTCAAGCAGGGAGCCTGCTTCCCCCTCTCTCTGCCTGCCTCTCTGCCTACTTTGATCTCTGTCTGTCAAATAAATAAATAAAATCTTTAAAAAAAGGACAAAATCTTGCCGATGATTTAAGAGCTTAAAGAACCTCTTAACTAGGTAAAAGCCTGTGTATGCCTTACAGAATTAGTATAAAAATAATTAATTTGGGGGAATTTTGAAGACTCACTCATGATGAAAAAAAATGGTCTTAAAATATTGGTTTATAGGGACAGAAAGCAGAATGGTGGTTGCCAGAGGAAAAGGTGGGGAGAACAGAGGATTACTGTTTAAAGGGTAGTTTCAGTATTAAAAGATGAAAAAAGCTCTGGAATAGACAGTGATGATGGTTCATAATAATTGAACTGGATATTAAAAATGGTTAAAATGGTAAATTTTAGGTTACATATACATTATGGGTTGAACTGTGTCCCCTCCACAAATCATATGTTGAGAGAGTACCTCAGAATATGAGTTAGAATAGGGTCTGTAAAGAGGTAATTAATTAAGGTTAAGTGGGGTCACTGGCGTAGGCCTTAATCCCATGTGATATTGTCCTTATAAGAAGAGAAGATCAGGGCACAGAGGAAGACTGAGATTAAAATGAAGACACTGAGGGAAGACATGGCCATCAATAAGTTAAAGAGAAAGGCCTTAGAAGAAACCAATACTGCTAACCCCTTGCTCTTGGCCTTCTAGCCTCTAGAACTGTGAAAAAGTAAATTTCTGTTGTTTAAGCCACCCAGTTTGTAGTACTCCATTATGTCATTCCTAGCAGACTAATAAATTGCATTTTACCATGATTAAAAATAAAATAAAATGTCTATTACCAAAAAAACCCATTATTTAAAAATGTACAATTTTACAATGTACATTTAAGAAATCCATCTACCTTTTTAGGTATATAAAACACATACCAAGCAACAAAAGAAAAAACCGATATATTGAATATCATCAAAATTTAAAACTTCTGGGGTGTCTGTGTGGCTCAGTCAATTGGGTGTCCAATTGAAGATTCTCTTTATCCAACTACACTTCCCCCCTCTCGCACCCACTCTCTTTCCCTGAAATGAATAGATAAATCTTTAAAAAAATGTTTAGAACTTCTGTGCTTCAAAAGACACTATCGAGAAAATGAAAAAGCAACCTATAGAATGGAAGAAAATTTTTTGCAAATCATGTATCTGCAAAAGGATTTGTATCAAGGGTATATAACAACTATCACAATTCAATCATTTAAAAAAAATATTCAACAAAAAATTGTTCCTTCATCATCAAAGAGCTACCTAAGTGGAACTGGCACATATTTGTGTTTGTTTCTATTTTACTGTGTGTCTGTGGAGGGGAAGAACACAATGACTCCTCAATACAGTTCAGTGCCACTGACTTGAGTCCTGTTAGGGTACCAGCCATTTCAATAAACATCTGTTGAAACAAATGAATAAAGATTAAATCACTGCAGTAATTCTAAGAGTATAAAGAAATATGAAAAAGACACTTTTTCCTTGTTTATTCCAAAAACGTAAAGTAACAACGCATAAGATGGAGTACATTTAATTCGCAAAATGTTTCTCAATAACTATAAAAGATACAAAAATATTGGAAATCTAGCAATTTCTTTTGAGGGACTTTTTTTTTTTTTTTTTTTTTTTTTTAAGGAAGCTCCCTGCCCAGTGTGGAGCCAGATATGGGGCTTGATCTCATGACCCTGAGATCAAGACCTGAGCTTAATTCTTAACTGACTAAGACACCCAAGATGCCCCTTGAATGATGTTTTAAAAATGCCAAATGGTTAGCATGAAAAATTCCAGACACATTGCTATATTTTCTTTTTGTTGTTTTATTTGTTTTCTGAAACATATTAAAGTAAGTTGCAGATATCATGACAGTTACATCTAAACACATTAGCATGCATCAACCAAGGGTAGGTTTGAAAATTTTCTTAATAACTACAGGACATTTTTAAAAAGCCACTCTAAGTATAATTCACAAGTAAGCTTTGCATCACTTACCACTATGGACTTAGGGTTTTTTTGCTTATGTAGTGTTTTCATAATAAATTACAATTATTTCTCATTTTGAATTTCTTAAAAATGCATATCATTTTCTTACTTTATATGTGCTAGAAGTGTGGTATCAAAGCTGATTTTCTTTCAATTTTAATTATTTTCACTTTTAATGTATTTTAAATTTTAAACTTATTTTCACATTTCAGCTTGGAGGCCTGCGTGCCCTTTTAACCTTTTAACTTCTAATACTCAGACATAGGATATAGCTAAGTCAGTTGTTCTAGATCAATTCTCCCAGGCACACAGGACCCTTTTCAAACTGGAGACATGAAATCCCCTTTTATATCAGAAAAGTTTATTATTTTAAATGTTATGTCTGTTCATTTTCCATTTGTTTTTCTGGTTTCAGTTCTTCAACTAAATATATTGAATTTTCTCTATCATTCTTTCTTTGATCCTTTCAGCTCTCTTATTTCAGTTTCATTTTCTTGACTCTTTTTCATTTCTCTTCTTTACGTCTCTTACTGAACTTTTGGTAATATCTATCTTCCCTTGGGTACCTTGTAATTTAGTTTTCATTTCTGAAATGATTTTTGTCTTTTTCTGTCGATTTCCTTCCAGAGTTCAATCAGCTCCTGTTTCATACATCTGTTGTTTGTCCATTTCAATTGTGAGTTTTGGAACTCCAATTCATAGTGTCCTTTCATAATGCAATTGCTTGTTTAATATAGGTTATGCATGTTTGAGTGTTGTGTTTCAAGTTTCTAACTTTATGGCTTTTCTTTTCTGTTTTTATTTTTCCTTTCATACTCTCTCTCTCCTTAACCCCCTGTGTGTGTGTGCGTGTGTGTGTGTTTATGTGTGTGTATGTTTAGAAGGTGTTATTTAAATTTTGTTTTCTTATAGCAATTTTGTGCAGATCCTGCCTTCTTTTTCTGTTCAAGATTATTTGTATTGTTTTTCTTCAGAATCAGCAATAGCAAGTTACCTTGTGATAAGAAGAGAGATCAGGTGGCTTATTAGGTTTCTCAGTTCAAGAGCACCCCCCTCTGTGGCTACAGTGAAGTGTAATTATTTTAAAAATGGTACTTTTTGTGGTGGTTGTGGTGGTGGGAATAATTTGTCTTTTTAAAAACTTTATCTTATTTCCGGGACGCCTGGGTGGCTCAGTGGGTTAAGCCTCTGCCTTCGGCTCAGGTCATGATCTCAGGGTCCTGGGACTGAGCCCTGCATCCCTGCATCGGGCTCTCTGCTCAGCAGGGAGCCTGCTTCCCGCCCCCCTCCCCACCGCCCCCCTACCCTGCCTCTCTGCCTACTTGTGGTCTCTGTCTGTCAAATAAATAAATAAATAAATAAATCTTTAAAAAACTATCTTATTTCCTTTGGACCCTTTTCTTCAGCTACTTCTTTCTTTCTTTTACCACCAAGCCTCCAAAGGAACCCCCATTCCCACCCCTTGTAAGATATCTTCCATTCTCTCAGAATGAGTGCTTTCCTCAAATTGTCACCTAAGGTCAGCCACACTTTCTAAGCCCCATCTCCCAAATCCAGAGGCCAGGCCTCTGATCAAGTAGTTCATGCTTACAGTAATTCAGAAAGGGAGAAAACTACAAATGTTAATTTCAATGTATATGTGGCTGCCATCCTAAGGAAACTGGGAATTTTTCTCTTGCAATATGGTAAGGTTCTCTTTCTTAAAGCCATCCTAGAATTCCTTTTATTTAATATTTTGAGT